CAACAGCATGAACATCGATCTATGCAATTGGAGTACGATGACATGTGTCAACCCGATCCCGTTATGACTGCACAATGCCATTTAGAAAGTGATCAAATGTAACATATGTTACATTTGGGATTACACATTCTTAGTAAAGTACAGATTCTATTACTGTTTTGGGGGTGAGCCAATATTAAATCTTGAAGTTAAACATACCGGGCCAGCCACGGAAACCCCACTAAGTTACGGTAAAGGGGATAAAATACAACGTTGGCGGGTAGTGCATTGTTTGTAAAGTATTTAAAACCCACTTGAACGTCGCTCACCACAGTTCAATATACAGTACCTGACATTTTGTGACTAATCTTGGTAGTATATAATCACACCGTCATTTATCGGTTTAGGGAACAAGTGTCTAGGGCGTTCTGAGTCGCCTACAGTGATAATTCACTCACACAATCATTATTTACGATTTGAAAACAGGCAAATCGGTATGTTTGAACTGCCGAGGACATTGTACAGAGAAACAGTGTTATATAAAGACCAAATCTGCGTCAGCAGGAATGTTTAACCTTGACAAAACATTTGACCATGAGGTTGACCTTCTCGAGACGCAAGCTTTCATGACCCCTAAACTGATCCAAAATTGCTAAAGTACTCAAAGTTTTGTGCGGAGATAATCACATACATCAACATGATGTAATATTCTTACAGTAATTTTGCTAAAACGCTGAGTGTGTTTTTTATGAATTACAAAGTCAGACTGATATGATGAATCTGTAAACAGTACCTTTATACACGACCGTACCTGGGTCTAGGCTTCTGTTTTAAATTGAAGAATGGAGCTACAAAACAATGGATAATCGAGGGTTATCAGCCCAGCTGTATTCAACATTGAAGCATGGAAACACAAAACACTGGATAATCGAGGGTGATAGGCCCACTCAACATTGAAGCATAGAAACACAAAACACCGGATAATCGAGGGTGACCGGACCAGCTGTTTTCAACATTGAAGCATGGAGCGACAGAACACTGGATAATCGAGGGTGATCGGTCCAGTTGTGTTAACATTGAAGCATGAACATACAAAACAATGGATAATCGAGGGTGATCGGCCCAGCTGTATTCAACATTGAAGCATGGAAACACAAAACACTGGAAAATCGAGGGTGATAGGCCCACTCAACATTGAAGCATAGAAACACAAAACACCGGATAATCGAGGGTGATCGGTCAAGCCGTATAATGATCGGTCAACTTTGAAACATGGATCTTATACAGTGAACGATGAGCAGTCAGATTTGAATCAGTCTGCGCTTTTTCCTTGAAGCCGAGGGAAATATTTGATACAGCAGACACAGAACAAGAAAAGGCCGCGTTATTAACGTTTCAAAGGATCACGATTTTAACATTTGATTTGTAAAGGCCATTTTTGGCTTGTGTCTATCGTGTGGGTGACATAAGACCTTGTCTATCACTGCAGGAATCTTAAGCATGACTCAGACACGATGGATTAGACCCCTATTAGTCACAACCTTGACAATATAAATAGCAAGTGTAAGGGTAGCTGAAAGTTCTAAACCTCTGTGGTGTACTGCGTTGATGGACCTGAACATGCTTTAGTCACACACACACACACACACACACACACACACACACACGCACACACGCACACACGCACACACGCACACGCACACGCACGCAAACTCTCAGATTGTCATTGTCAGTTCTCATTGTCAAGTCATCAATATCCCCCGCATTGGCAAAATACTCTTCATGAATATGTCTACTAGTTATGGTTATGTCAAATATTTTGGTGTGTATATGGCAAAGTGGAAGGAGAGTATTGAAAGGTTTTTATGTTCTGCTCCGGAAAGGAGAACTACCTACCACCAAATTCAGTTGAAGCCAAACTTGTTGGCATGGAAACACAAAAAATATTTTATTCAGAAATCCAAAACTACCAAAAGGCACCATTTCACCACCAGATCTATCTATGTGCCAAATTTGGTGAAAAAAAATCAAAGTAAAACTTGTTGCCATGGAAACGCCAAAATATATTAAAATCAGAAATCCAAAACTACCAAAATACACCAGTTCATCACCAGATCTATCTATGTAAGACGTTTGGTAAAGAAATATTGAACGGTTTTAGAGTTCTGCTCCAGAAAAGAGCACCAACACCAATTTCAGTCAAAGTCAAACTTGTTGCCATGGAAATGCAAAAAAATATTATAATCAGAAATTCAAAACTACCAAAAGGCACCAGTTCATCACCAGACCTAACAATCTGCCAAGTTTGGTGAAGAAATATTACATTGTTTTAAAGTTCTGCTCCGGAAAAGAGCACCAACACCAATTTCAGTCAAAGTCAACTTTGTTGCCATTGAAACGCAAAACATATTATAATCAGAAATCCAAAACTACCAAAAGGCACCAGTTCATCACCAGACCTATGTATGTGCCAAGTTTGGCGAATAAATATTGATCGGTTTAAAAGTTCTGCTCCGGAAAAGACAAATGTGCACGGACGCACGCACGCACGGACGCACGGACGGACGGAGTGCATGTTAATAATGATGTAATCAACATTTGCATAATGTTTGCCAAACAGATCTTTCTTCACGTTCTGGCAGGGTGGAACATCTGACAGTTTCGAAGTTTGTGAATGTAGGGGATGCTCAAAGCCTTCAAGGTCACAAACCTCCATTGTGGCAGGGTCGACAGAGTAGAGCATATGTGCAGTGTCCTACTTGAACAACGCACAGTCAGACAAGGTGAAGTTTGCCGCGATGCGCTGTTATGTAATATTATTATAATATTTGCCATTCATGGTCTGACCTTTTGTTCTACCAATAGGATTCCTTTGGAATCCCAGAAAACCAAACCCATCTCCCGGCAAGCTGAAGGAACAGGCTCTGCTTTCATCGGAGGAGGAGGAGGTGTCAGATGATTCTTTGACTGTTTAGTTTCTGGATGATCGTGGTGAACCCATGTCTCATCCATGGTAACAAACCTCTACAGTCTGCAGGCAGGACTTGCATCAAAACGATGTAAAGCCTCACAAGAGATGTGAACTTTCGCTACGTCCAGTTCCTTCCTCAGTCTTCAGCTCCTTCCTGAGAGATGCGGCCCTGACTTTGTGACGTGTGGTGGGAGGTCAGTCATTCAGAACTATATGTATCATTGACCTTTTCCTCGGTAGTGGCAGCTGATCTTGATCTTGGATGATCTTCGTGGCTGTTTCTTCCCTTTCAAAATAACCCGTTCAAACGCAGCCTGTATGGGAAGTATTGGTCCTAGACTAACACTTAGTCTCTGAATATATCATTTTGATTGTAACAAATAAACCCATTTAAATTGAAAAGGAGCCCAAGGCAGACCAGAGACTTGCTTCATTTAGGGCTTTAGAACTGCAGGGAGGGCTAGGCTGTGGCGAAAATAATATGGTTCAGGGACTGTGAGACAGACTATATTGGACCTAATACATGCAAACTGTTAAGGGTGTGGGTCCTGCGTGGTTCGTCTCAGTCACCCTTCGTTATATCGGTTATGTAAGAAATAAAGAAAAAATAAGGAAAAAATTCACGCTGTTGTCACTTTACCATCACTTTCAAAATATGGGCGGTACGGTGGCCTAGTGATGAAAGTGTTCGCTCATTACACTAAACCCGGTTTGGACATCATATGAGGTTACGGTGTGTGTCGCCTATTCCATCAATCCTTCATAATGGTATCACTGGATTAAGATGGCGTAGTAACAAATTCACCCACCTTTAAGAATATTATAAAGTGATTTTAAGGAATATTTATACTTTTCGATATAAATCTAAGGGTCCGGTATTTTTGGTGTATAGGGATGCCATATATTGGTCCGGCACGCTAAGTTCTGATGATCACTGAATTGTCTGGTCCAGATTCGATTATTTACAGACCGCCGCCATATAGCTGGAATATTGCTGAGTGCGGCGTAAAACTAAACTCACTCACTCGCTAAGTTCTGAGTTGTTTCGTCACACAGGTTCAGCATGTTAAGCCCAGGCTTCCTGTGCCCCGCGTAATGATAATGAAATTTTGCTAAAGGCAACGTAGGCAAAGTGAGTATTTCAAAAGAACCCAGGATGAAGAATCAAACCCGGAACTCCGCTGAGATTAGGCAACGTGTTACCTTTCTATCTCTTTCTACACCAGTGGATTTTGTGGCAAATACAATTAACAACCACGTCGATGAAACGCTGTGCACGATAGTCAGGTACAACCTCAGACCTCCCCAGTTGCACAATGAAACACTGGATACAATCCGTGGGTTATGAGGATTCTATCTTGTCCACATCAACCCAGGCTCACTGCGTTTAAACTCAATGTGTTTATTGATGCTCAGTATATCAATCACTGCTTAGTCTAGGCCCGATCAAATTACAGCCAGTCGTCATATATCTGGAGGGGCGGAGGGTAGCCCAGTGGTTAAAGCGTTAGCTCGTAACGCCGAAGACCCGGGTTCTATTCCCCATTACAATTTTGTGAAATCCATTTCTGGTGTCCCCCGCAGTGATATTGCTGGAATAGTGCTAAAAACGGCGTAAAACCATACTCACTCACTCATATATCTTAAATAATGCCGACTTCGGTGTTAAACAGCAGAGAAGCGAGTCCTCGCCGATCACACTCGATGCTGTTCTGTAAATAAAGCTTCAGCAGTGTAGCGGCTTTTAGGAATGATTAATCCACGACAACGACTTTTTGTACGAGACGGCACAGGCTCGGAGTTATGTCTGGCCTGACACGAAATGACCCACAGACCGTTCAGCCATCGTTCATATCCTTCAATTTCATCTTGTCGTGACGACATTGAGGAAATCGATTGAATAGATAATTCACATGTTTTTTGTTTTTTTTCTCTTTTAAGGGGAAATCATTATGTCTGCTGTGTCTGTACACGTGAAGGACGGACGACTTGAATAATACCTACATTGTCTGCCTAGACGCACTGATATAGTTAGAATAGATTAACTTACTTTACAGCTCCGTCGATGTCACGTTGACCTTTGCGGTAAAGGGACGAGTAATGTCTCTAGTCTCCCTGCCGTCCAAGTTGATGCGTCTCCTGAAACAGAAGAAAACATAAGGATATATGATACGTGACTTGTATGTGAGAACTGTTTGTTCACAAAGTCAAATAAATAATTAAAAGTGATTCCGTGATATTTGATTGGCTCAACGAGCAATATGTTTGCGTTTATGTTCCCATAAACCGAAAAAATTGAGGCCACGCCTTCCAGAGGAGTACTGTTCCCTGATTGGCTAATAATAGTTTTGGCGGTGACTGGGTGCAGTAATGCACGAAGTCACTTCATTGCTGTCTACTTTTTGTGTTAATCATTAAATAAGTAGTCTATAAATCAATCATGGCTGAATTATTTATGTTTAGGAAATGGCCTGGATATGTTGGGTTTTTGGGGCGTTTTCTTTAAGGCATAAGTGAGTGAGTGACTTTATTGTTACGCCGCAATCAGCAATAGCTATATGGCGGCGGTCTGTAAACAATCGAGTCTGGACCAGACAACCCAGTGATCAACGAAATTGAGCATCGATCTACGAAATTGGGATATGATGACATGTGTCAACCCGAACCCGGCCCGTTAGTCGCCTCTTACGACAATCATGGGTTACTGAAGACCAATTCTAACCCGGATCTTCACGGGTCCTTTCAGGTATAAATATGCATCTGCTGTAAATAAGATAATAAGATATATTCATGCATAGACTGGATTGTTCACTTGCATGGAGTTTTTTATTTAAATATATTGAAATTCTTTTATAAATATTTGTCTTTACTTTCTTTATAAGTCGACATTAACAGCGCTCTGGCCATGTTATTGTCAACTTAGTGAGTGAGTGAGTTTAGTTTAACGCCGCACTCAGCAATATTCCAGCTATATGGCGGCGGTCTGTAAATAATCGAGTCTGGACCAGACAATCCAGTGATCAACAACATGAACATTGATCTGCGCAATTGGGATACGATGACATGTGTCAACCAAGTCAGCGAGCCTGACCACCCGATCCCGTTAGTCGCCTCTTACGACAAGCATGGGTTACTGAAGATCAATTCTACCCCGGATCGTCACAGGCAATCAGCCTAGTACACACATAGAAATTCACCTTTCATGTTTTACGTCTGTTTACGGGAATTATGTTCTGTTCACAGTGGATTATAATAACGGCTAAAAAACAACACTGACTCATCGGCGAGTCCTAATCCATGCCGAAATTGTAGGAATGCTTACGGAAACAGAGCAGTGTTTAATTACATATACAATACCTATATCAGACATTGAGAATCCACGGTTAACCCTATGCTGTGTGTATGTTTGAGGAGTTAGGACCTGTGATAGTGGGGTAGGAATCCATCATTCAACAAGTGATAGCACAGCAGGTGTCGTTAGGTCTGTCTGCCTGGGTTCGAGTTTCATAACTGACATTATATGGTGAGTAGGTAAATGTTGCCGTAAGCCACATCGGCAATGGGCAGCTATTTGCATAAAAAAACACACATTATATTGTAATTGGAACTCACTATGGTGTCGCCTGGTTCTAATATACAAAGAATGAGCCCTCTCACATATATTTAAATATTTAGTTTTTTTAATATTTGTTATATTAAGTTTAGTATTCTAGTCATTTGATGTCTGCTGATGTCAGTTGATGTCAGTTGAAGGGCGTTGGGGTAGCCTAGTGGGTAAAGCGTTGGCTCGTCACGCCAAAGACCCGGGTTCGATTCCCCACATGAGTAAAATGTGTGAAGCCCATTTCTGGTGTCCCCCGCCGTGATATTGCTGGAATATTGCTAAAAGTCGCGTAAAATCAAAGCGTTGAAGCATGGGCGGTGGGGTAGCCTAGTGGTTAAAGCGTTGGCTCGTCACGCCGAAGACCCGGGTTCGATTCCCCACATGGGCACAATGTGTTAAGCCCATTTCTGGTGTCCCCCGCCGTGATATTGCTGGAATATTGCTAAAAGCGGCGTAAAACTAAACTCAGTCAGTCAGTCATAAGTGCAATGACTTATTTGGTTGAACCTTAGATTCAACACCGTGGGGAATATGGTTTAAAAAGGACCCATGGAACCAGTGTTTATCGTAAGAGATGACTCAAACAAACTTGGATTTGAACTCACGATAGACGAGTATCAACGAAAGAAAGCTGCTTTAACATTACGCCTAATATTTAAATTGCCGAATATTCGGTCAAGGAGCTTTTTTAATGAAGTCACCGATTTATTTCATATTGTCACAGTGACCTACATTAGCTGTATTTGCCCTAAGGTCAGTGTGACATGAACATTGACCGGACTTATCACCCAGCGGAGTTGTACTCTCTGCACCGACCTCATACCCTGTAAAACATATACTGGATATACCAGCACTTCCACGAAACCTAAACATACAGCTAAACTTTGATTGATTGATTGTTGAATACGTGAGTGAGTGAATTTAGATATATGCCGACTGGCTGAAATTGTAATGGTTATTTCCACACATTGTACCCATGTGCGGAATCGAACCCCGCGTGACGAGCGAACGCTTTAACCACTAGGCTACCCCACCGCCTCACATTATCTACAAGTTCCATGCATTTATTGACATTTATATTCATTTTCTTTCTGAGACATCAGACCCGTGAAGATCCGGGGTAGAATAGGTCTTCAGCAACCCATGTGCTTGCCATAAAAAGGCGACTATCTTGTCGTAAGAGGCGACTAACGGGATCGGGTGGTCAGTTTCGCTGACTTGGTTGACACATGTCATCGGTTCCCAATTGCGCAGATCGATGCTCATGCTGTTGATCACTGGATTGTCTGGTCCAGACTCGATTATTTACAGACCGCCGCCATATAGCTGGAATATTGCTGAGTGCGGCGTAAAACTAAACTCACTCACTCACTCATTTCTGAGACATCACGTGTACAGGGTAGACACACAAACTCGCAGTCGCTAACTGTTCACGACAGGCAACTGTCTCATATTATACTCCCAGTCGATGTTGACGATACTACATTTCCGCAAGTCTTGCACTACGGATAACGGGATTTCCCTCCGATGGTTGAAGAACGTTATAACGGTATTTATAATGTCAGCTGTCTTCCCCCCACCACCAAACATAACAACATACGCTGGAATGAAACCCGAGACAACAAAGAGACTAAAGCCACAATAAAACCCTAGGGATATTCTGTCGTGGATTTAGTCGTAATGGAGACTCATGGAGAGACAGGATCACATGGCGGTGGTATTGTCACTACAACAGTATCAGTGTTTATACTGTTTACTATGGTAAATAACCCCTGATGTATTGGCAACCACAACATCAAATCGGATTTAAAAATCTATGTTTGTTTGTTTGTTTATTTATTTGTTTAACAAGGGAGAGATACTCCGTGATTCGAGATTCGATTTTATATATTTTGTTTGTTTGTTGTGTAATTCAACACTCGGCAATATTCCCGCTATATATGACTGAGTGCTGTGCATGATCCAGTCCGGACCGGTCAATCCAGTGATTGACATCATGAGCATCGATCTACGCAACTGGGATAGGATTATTATTATTATTATTATTATTATTTTTACAGATTAAAGATTGTATGCAGCAGAGAGGGTTCGGGTGTTATTATTATTATTATTATTATTATTATTATTATTATTATTATTATTATAGGATATAGCGCCCATATCCAAGCAACTAGTGCTTGTTCAAGGCGCTGATATTTTTTCCCTCGATCATTGGATGTCAATCTCAATGGCACATCGTATTATCAATCTCAACTCCCTGGGGAGTATACAGCCACTAGGCATACATCAACCAGGCCAGCGAACAGTCGTTCTCCTAGTTGGCTCTTACGTTAAACATAGTTCCCACCAATTTCAACCTCCCGGATGTTCAGTGTCGGGGAGGGCGCGGGGAAGAGAAACATGGGTTGACGATGACCTATTGTGACCGGGATCTTCACAGAGAAAGAGAAGTACGGGTTGCTGAAGACCAATTCTAACCGGATCTTCTTTTCTGCTCTGAAGGGAAGTATTTATGTTAAAGTGAGTTTTACGCCGCTTTCAGCAATATTCCAGCAATATCACGGCGGGGGACACCAGAAATGGACTTCACACATTGTACCCATGTGGAGACTCGATCCCGGGTTTTCGACGTGACGAGCCAACGCTTTAACCACTAGGCTACCCCACCACCGAACACATATAAAACACAGACAGTTTTGGTATACTCCTCAAGGAACAGGGAACGAAAATAGAATGTAAATGTAACAAAATCATAGACCATGCTTTTGGGTGTTAAATTTGTACACTATAATTATATTTTCAGTGCTGTCAATAATATCATTATTCTATTAAATTGCATACAATTAGGAACTTTGTAAAAAATCTAAGAACAAAACTTTCCAAATATGAAAGACATTAATTTTCTATCGTCAAACATAATTTGCATTGTATAATTGAGAAATGCAATTAAATGTCAAACACACATCACGTTTTGAGAGCTTATCCTTCAACGACGAGATAACTGCAAAGACTTTACATCAGACACTTCGGCATTGTCTGAAACGAAATCGTCTTGTAATCAAATTCTGAAGACAATCTTTTTAAGGTCTGTTTGGTCAGTGACAGACTCGGAAGCAGATAACATTGTCTGGGGATTAATCTGACACAGAGATGCTAATATTTAAAGGATTTTGGTTGCGTGATGTGATATTGTGAGTTAAGCGTGTAGACATGAATATGACGAGGGGAGTGTCAACTGCAGAGCTGTTGACAGGAGTTGTATAACGGGTCAAGTTGCCCGTCTCGGTGTCTATTGTTTCGCTATCAAAATATATGTATACATTGTTACCGAACACAATGTGACATCTTCTGTCATCACAGGGAGGTACAACAGTCCTAGAGTCGTGCGAAATAACATGTATCACTTTGTGCCCCAATTATATCATCACAGAACGGGGGACGTGGTCCATGGGTATTGTGTTGCCATAGAAACGATTCCTTTTCCGTTATGATAAACAACGGTATGTGATGTCCACAAGGCAGCTGGATCGTTAAC